GCAGACCAAAGATGGTGACACTCTCGAGCATGTTACACTGTTGGTCTCGAGCCACTACAAAAGGCTTTCCTTCACACCCTTCTAATTGAACATGCAACGTGATTTTGGAACTGAATGAATCTTTGTCCCTCTATTCTCGTTTCCCTGTACTTATTGTTAAACACTCCGAGATACGCGTGTTTTTTTGTAACCACCTCCTGCTGATCTTGGTACTCTTACCGATCTCTATCCTTCATGTTGGCTGATCCACCTTCTCCAGTCTAATAACGTCCGACCGATTCCACGTTTATACTGCAAGGATACAAAGCTTCCGAAGTGTAAATGTTTGTCCACGAAGATCTACTCACGGGAGGCGGGGATCGGGTAATTGTTTCGCCTTCTCTTCTGCTCGTGCTAATGCTTTTAATTTCAGAACCGGATATTTGAGTTTAGTCCATATTGGATTCTTCTGCAATTATCGTACTTTTTGTTATAACTATGGTGTCGTCGGCGTATCATAAGTTCATTAGTTGTGTGGGCATGTTACTTCCCGGTTGCCCTGGTCGAAGAAGGGGGATAACCTCGGGGTGCCCACCCGAAACCTTTGACTGGAAAGCTTCACCTGCAAGACAACAGGACGGCATTCAGAGTCCGCAATCCATTAAGGGCCGGTGTCCGGTTCATCGGATCATACGCCCTTCGGACGAGGTCAAACGTCCAAGGTGCCCAATACACCTCGATGCCCAATCGAACCGGTGACCGTGTCACGACCAAAAAGGTGTGCGTGGTTCGTGCGCCTCTTTTTGGTTGGTTTGGAATCGGGGTTTTTAGCCAACTCCCTTAGGTGAACTGCCAATGATTCACCTACCTGGTTATGGCCCCGGATGTCGGCTTTTCGTCCTCTCACTTTGGTGGGAAAAACATCTCCGCCACGGGAAGACAGTGAGTAGGGCTTCCTCAGCAGAGGCTATTTGAGACACTTGGTCATATAGGAGCATTTCATGAGGTGTAAGGGAAAGTGACCATCCGCAACCCAAGATACCCACCCCCGACCATACCGAGGCTTTCGTCGACGTATATATGTACATGATAGCACGTTCCAGATTGTGATCTGTCGTTTGTTTGAGATGTGAGTCTATTGGGCCACCAACAGCAGTATCGCCTTCGTACACTTCCTTGAAGAGTGAAAGTCGCATTAGTTGTGCGAGGCAGCAATGAAGGTGCACGGGTACGGGTACGGGTACGGCGACACCGGTAAACCCAATCAGATTTGTGCACCGTCTCTGTAGGACTGAATGTTCTGTCCTCACAAAGATTGTTCATTACAAGTTAGGGACTGGACATCGAATGAATCTATATCGTTTCTTTCTATCATGTCGACCAAGGTCAACGGACCTAGTGGAGTATCTCAGGTGTACTTTAGTATTAGCCCCCACATGCTTGCTCCCATTATGTTCCACCTAGAAGTACGAGCGACACGAGCGGCTCCTGCCTACCCCCCAACAATGATACGGTACAGAGAGAACATAAACCGGAGAACAACAGTTAGCGTGTTTTGTATGATCAGGATGTGATGCGCACATTTATGTGAGTAATTTGGACGTAAGAGAACGACGTGGTGACGAACNCATAATTCACGTTTGCACCGAATACACTTTGTTTTTCTCGTCCGTGTTTACTTTTACCCCGTGGTGCATATTTCGCCTGAACAACGTGGAATCCTCTCAACTCCATGTTTAACTGCCATTGCTAAGATGTCATGCTAAACCAGTGGTTACCTACTTCTCACCTTGGAAGACGTATTCGTTCAGTACATATTGAATTCGGTTTCTGCTGAACGAATAATGAGGGAAAAACGGAAAAGTTCTCGTTCATGGACTGTCGTGATCATTTCATTAGTAATTTTCCCAAAAAGGAAAACGATGGCACAACCATCAGTTATAATTGGAAGCCTGCGAGTAATATCAGCTACAACAATTATGAAGCGAATAATTTCCCTACATTTGGGATATATAGATACATTTAAGTAGCGTTTGTTGCGATTAGAAGCATCTAACCCACCGATAAGACACTGACTTATAATATTGATTCATCAGTGAACTGGTCCTGAAAGAGCTGTTCAAACAAATGTATCCAGTGTTATTTATTGTGACGAAAATACACTTCCTGGGTACACGTTTATGAATGCAGAGAGAAAAGGACGCCGGATATGCAAACCTGATGAGCGGCAAGAACTGTGAAACCGGTCGTGTGCTTCCGGGGGAATTTTGTCCAGTCATTTATATACAATACTTCATATGTGTTTGAAAATTTCAGGAGAAATTGATTTTCCAAAGAGCACCGTTAAACAATGCAAAAACCGGTTGGATGATTAGGATCGGTAGAAGGAAAACACCTTAAACTGTAATATTAAGTGGCTGTATGATGTGAGAGGGATGAGGGTGGAGGGAGGAGCTAAAAAGGATCAACAGGTCTATATATCAAAATTGCTGATTGTAGCTGCTGGCGATAGTGTAACACTTTTAGTCGAATTACTAAACTTATGAAGTGTACAAACAACCGACTAGGTGATGCACAGACCACGTATTCTCATTATTCATGCTGCCTCAGATGAGATAGTTTGACCTGAAGAACAATTTTCTAGTCATAAAGTTTATGAAGAAGGAAAAAAAAGTGATGAGTGATTGCGGGAATTGTTGTGATCTCGCACAATTGTCGGGAACATTAACCTTCCACCTCACACACTCCCCCCACCCCTCTGCCCTCCTTGTCTGCCCCATCCAGCATCATCCCAGTATGTTATAGTATGATCTCATGAATACGAACAAAAAGGTGACAACCAACTACTGTCTCACAATTCCGATGCATCGTCCCAAATCTCCGGGACCAACGAGATCAGACTGTGAAGTGATTAGAACATTTATGAGAAATGGGTGAAACAAAAATGATTGCGCCAGCGCGAATAGCCTAAAATGGACGGGAGAGAGGGAGGGAAATGAGATAAAATACTGCGAAAATTGGGGTTTAAGCGGGCAAGAAAACACGCAAATGCGGAAGTCTGTTGTACTAGAGTCAGCTGTTTTATCCTCTGAAGTTCAAGCACAGGTAAATGAATATAGGTTGGCAATTTCTCAGCCGTCAACAGGCACACAAAAATGCATGTATGCATGTATGCATGTTCAGAACTGTCCAACCGGTTATTCAGACGAGATCACTACGTGAACTAGAGGGTTTGGAGCCCTGCAGGGGATCTTTCTTCTTTCCCGGCTTTGTTTTCTCCCTGGGAGTCTGTGGTTTTTCCGTACTCTCTGGCTTTGCACCGGATCGCTTTCTTTGTGGAAGATCAGGCGATTTTATGGATTTGCGAACAATGGAAGCCGTTTCTGTCTCTCCTTCCGTTCGATGCTGTTCTACGGACAGTTGTTTTGATGGTTTTCCCGGTGGAATCGGTGGCTTCTTCGGAGGTCGTGGAGCGGTGGCAGGTCGATGACCTTCCACTGTCACTCGCTTGGTCGGACTAGCACTACTAGTCGGTGAGCGGGTCCCACTTTTGTCCAGCTTCGATTCGAGCTCAGAATCTCGGTGCACAGATCGCTGGTTGATGGAATCATAAGTCTTCTCCACAGATGTGACGAAAATGTCAGGATTCCGAACCGCGATAGGCGGTGGTCGTGAATCCGGGAGAATGTCTGTTTGGGTGACTGGCTCAACTTGAACCTGGTCGTCACATTCCCGGGAAGTTGAAACCGGAATGCTTGATACAGTATCCGCATTCAGTGCGGAATCGGATGATTTACGTTCTGTGAGTGCAATATGCTCTTCACGTGAACACGTTTCCCTCGGAAGTTCTTCATTTGGAACCGAATTTGAAACATCTGTGGATCTGATAAACATGTATGGTTCCTGTGTTTCAAAACAAAAAAAGAAAGAAACACCGTTCTGATAAAATAATTGAAAACCAACTCATTGATATCAATTCTCAATCGAATGGGTAAATGCTAAACTGTCAAATAAATGATTCTAATCTTGACTGGTGAAAACTGTTAGTAAGATTTTCAATGCGTTCAGATCAGTTCTGGGGAGAATGATAGATGGGGAAAAAAATGCTACATTGATTAGCCAAAACAAATTGAACTATCAAGCTGAAATTGTCTTTACAAATGAGGCATACGACAAATTATCGATAACCCTTTTGTTTAATTCTTTTTATGCATAGTTACCTAATCCTATCCATCACCCGTGGACTTTGAGAGGTGTGCATGCGGAATTGAATGGGTAATTGAAAATCACTAAATTTAATCCGGCAAAGTAATATATATCTTCGCTTCTCTCTAATGGCAGATAGAGGAAAACTCTGACCGAAACTGTCAGAGGCGGACACGCATTTGGGGGCACACCACGGAAGGAATTGTAGACGCTCAATGCCGTGGCCACTTGTGGTGATCATGTAACGAGTACGCACGCACCACGGTACAACTTCCAGGTAACCAATCAAGAAACGGAATAACCGACCAATCCTGTGGTCTCAACTGGCTGAATGCAAGAAGGCAAATAAATAAACCATATCCTTGTCGATTGGACATTGAAGAATCGATCAATGACTGTTTGTTGCTTGTGATACATATATTGGCATGAGTTTCTGAATAGAATTAACTGTATGCACAGCTCATCCGGTTTCTACTTGAATTTGCGCGCTATTCGGTGGGTTTTCAGTCCGAGTCCGAATTCGCGCTCTATTCGATTTCGATTTCTATTCCGAATACTACACCACTGTAATTCGATCTGACCCGAGATAAACCAAAGCACTACACCGAGAACCCGGCACGGCTCACTCTGTCTGAAATCATTTTTACCGGGGAAAAGTGGAGGCGTAGTAAAGTAGAGCATTAATCGGAACTCGGGGTCACTGGTGAGCAATCAACTATTAGATATGCGTACTGGTTCCCAAGGTACGCTCTTCTGACCTCACCACCTCACTTTGATTGCCGTAGACCACATTCTCCTAAAATCGGAGTGACCAATGGCTTGGCACTTGTCGATATACTCCGTGGACCCATTTTGGTGCGCTGTGAACGGCGAGGGGGACAAATGTTTGAGATCGGTGACTGCGATAACCACACGTGTGATTCAGCGAGGAGAGTTCGTTTGGAGAACAATGAACGGGAGGCAGCCAATGCGTATCGATCGATGTGATCGGTGATCGGGGTGTGGACACACGTGTAAGTGTGAAGCCAAACAGCACAGAATCGAATTACACACAAATATATCCGTATCTATCTTCAAACTTGACTCAGAGAGATGAACACAAGCTCGTTGAATAGAGCGATGAAAGCTCTTCAAAACGATGTCAATAAATCCAATAAGATATATAATTGAGCACTATTGCGCTCGTTAATGACACAAAGCGGTGTAGAACACCGGACAGTGTGAATGATCGAAAAGTAGTATATACAAAATCCAATATTTTAGTATCACTGAATGTAGCTTACAAAACTGAGCAGCGAGTATAAACTCGTCGCGGTACGCCGTGTTTCGGCACAGAAACTCCACTGAATCCGGGAGCGCACGAACTGAGCGACCAGACAAGACATGTCACTATGCCCATACAGATCATAGAATACACACATTGAACCATGAGCACTCGTTCAGGAAGCTCTGAAGAAAAAACTGTTCATCAAACTGCCGTTCAAAGGAGATGACTTGTCTGAGCGCAATAAGGTGAACCTTTTATGCAGCCAGCCTGATATGCGTACTCATAGGCTCGGCAAAAATAAGAACATTCAATTAAGGCAATTTGCTTACGCTGGAAATATCTATGATTGTCTATTCCTTTGCTTTGTTTGTAACATTCTACTTACATCGATTAATTGGTGAGGTTACTCTTCAAACGGATTGATCGAAGGGCACTGGTCGCACTGACCTCGACCCGGCGGGAAAGGTGTCACAGGAAGCACCGGTCTCACTCACCCGGCAGACTCAATTCACCAAGTGATAGTAATCTGTCGAGTACCGCCTCATCCACTGGAATCATCCCACCTCCACACCCTAGCCACTACTGGTTCACAGCGAACCCATGTGCATAGAACAGACTGGTCCATATCATCACAACCAAAGCTCGATCGCACGTATGACGCGTCAGAACTTGACTGCAGTGTTGGGGTAACCTAGTAGTGTGAAACACGTCGCATCGCTCCGCTCTCCGATCGATAATCTACCCTACTAACATGTCACTTCCTTATATGATCTGTACATGTTAGGAGATAGATCAATGGAGACCATTTTTCGCTCAAAACCGGAAGCATTCAGCACTGGGATCACATTTGTGCAAATAGAAACGGTCTCTTACCGCGTGCGTTCGAACAATCACCTGACTGTCTTCTATTGCGAGGTCTGCATAGTTCCCCGGTTCTGTCGCATTAGGATCTAGTTGCTGATGTTCTGGCTCTCCTTGTTCGTGTTGTTTGTAGCCTTGTTCCACTTCCCGGTGCGTTTCGTCCGCGTCCCAATCCGTGCCCGAAACACCTTCATTGATGGATCGAGCCATTGTGGATGGTTGTGTCACGGACACTTCATCTGATTCGAATGCTGGATTATCCACCGGGCCACCAACTGATTGTGTACCGTCTTCATCCACAATGGAATCTAACGAGTGAAACGCTCGACCGGTGGTTGAGAACGGGGTTCGACGTCGCCTAGCGTTTTGTTTTCCATTGCTTAACTCAGTCAGATTGTCTTTGATCAAATTCAGTCCATCTAAGTTGGACATTTGGAAACCCTCGCGACCTTTACGCAGTTTGGTAGCTGGAAAAGTGAAAGAATAGAAAGAATAAAAAATGGAGCGTGTGAATTTATTCTTTTTCAAGGGCATCATTTCTATTTTGTACGGATAAAAATGCGAATAGTTTGAACAATTAAGTTGTTCTCGGAAAACGATTTATCATATCCAAGAATATCTTGTACATTACATGTTTCTATAAATGATGTCTTGATGACCTAGCAGATTTATATAAAAAAAAGCAAAACGAGATGCGTTGGCAATGGGAAATTGCAATCCAACTGCATGTGTTAATCAATAGCAAAATGTTGTGTAGTAATTGTAGTATGTACTGATCACGAAGTACGAATCAGAATTAGAAATTACGGACTAGCAATGACAGATGCAACGTAAGCACTGGATCACATCGGTACTTGCACAACAGTATCCCACGTAACCGAGACGCGTGGCAAAGGCCACAGGAATAGCAGTTAATTTATTGAAAGAAATCAGGGGGATTAAATAATATGTGCAAAACAAGTTCATTGGTCATCCAAGCCTCAGCTAGTATTTTTGGTGTTGTTTAGCTTCTGTCTAGGCTATAGGGTTTCTGA